ATTGTCTTAAAATACCTAGTTATTGGAAAAACAATAGAAATTATGAAAGAATGTTATGGACTCTATGTTATAGCTCACATTGTATTGTTGTCGGTTATTGCTAAATATCCCACAAATGAACTATGTTTTTCGTATTTTTTTACGATTCATGGATTTTATTAAAGGCTTTTTACTATATTTTAACTTGGTCACGTGTATCATGTTTAAGGTCCCCTTGTGATCATGCTTATGTTTTTATGCATTTACCCATACTTAGTACGTTACATGTACTAAGGCATACTTGTACCTATTTTTTTTCATAATATAGGGCCCACGTGTAACGACCGAGGAGTACCCCCTAGACATAACATGGCTTAATTGACCTCTCGAAGGTCTTATATAAGCCCTTAGACATCTTTCATCGCATACACATAAAATAGCGGAAAATTTAAAACTTTTCTATACCATAACACAAGACTAAAAGTAATCTCATTTAAAACCTTTTTAAAATGCAATGGAAGTACAAAGTCTTGATGTAGCCATCTTACAACACAACTACAACACAATAGGAAACACAATCCTTATAATACAAAAGCAACTATTATCTAGTACATGAACTTAAAGAAAACTATCGACATATGGTCCTTGAATCTTTAAGGACACATCCGAACTTGGGAATAGAAATCCAAGCTCTTCATTCTAGGAAAGTTCCATAAGTCACCACCTACAATTTTTGTGTAAAGATGAAGAACAATGATGTTAGTACAAGAATGCACTAAATATGGTAACCATGCAAAAATATGCTTTAAAGAGAATATTTAGGTAGAAATCATGCATCGTGTCTTTTAGAGAAACTTCATAAGAATTTCATACAATAAGAACCACATAGTCCACATATATCATAATAGACAAGGTTACCATTCACAACAACACATAAAGTCATTTATCATATTGAGACACCTTCAATATCTCCAATACATTACCTTTCCCTTTTACCTTAACTCCTTTACCTAAATCAACCCTTAAGAAATACTTAGTGCAATGCGTGAATAGTTTCTCATTCCCCCATTCATACAAAAGTATCACCTTAATGTCACCAAAAGTGAACATTTGTACAACCTATATCAATTCAAGCATATTCATTCATAAGGACAAAGCATATCATAAAACATAAGTTCACCTTCAAAAAGATACAACATATGAATTTAACCTTATACATAAGACCAACATACTTCATTAATGTTCACATAAGAAGTCTTTCATTCATTACACCTTAGTCATAACCCATTTAGTTCATATCATGGGTGAACAACCCTCACAGCTTCTCCACAAGCTTACTTGTGCAATGTACACATAGAGTCTTATACCTCCACATGTACTAAGAAAGCCCATTTAATATTTATAAGTATAATTCACATGCATATCATAATTCATGTTTTACCATAAGTAAATTCAACCATAACATGCATGCATATCAACATACATGAACCAAGATCCTTATTTAATAAAGGAACTTAATCATAACCTCCCTTGAAATCCACTTGTGAAATGCATAAGTAGAGTCCATACTCCTACCTATACTAAGAAACTCTTTAAGAAACCATGACTATAGTTCTTATTCTTTTCTTAGCTCATTTTTTAACATTTGGGAGATATAGTCATAACCGACATAGACCATGTGCTTTACATGGAATCCGGTGTCATATAATCCCACATGGAAAAAAGGTGTTATACTTGCCAAGGTGAAACCTACATAATAGCTATCTAGGTGGATCCACTAGCTAAAATCTATGGAGGTACGTAGTTAAGGGACAGTGAGATAGTTTCTAAAAACCGAACTATTGCATTAGCGAAGAGGCTCCTATCTCATTAGTATCACATAGATGACCCAACCTATTGCATTAGCCAAGGGGTCTTTTCCTCATTGTACATATCCACTAGGTTCTAAGCTTAATCTCGATCTTTTATATCTTTAAGCCTTTTCTTATCATTAGTTCATAAAGTAGGCTTTAGGGACTTACTCCCTCATATATCATAAAACTCAAAGGTTTCATAGATGGAAATGATCTTTCATCATAGAAACTACATTATGTGAGAATGTCCTTTCACATAATTATACATATTCATAACATAGTCTGGTTTAGAGTAAAATTGAGGAAACCTTTTGAGAGAATCTCATTCACTAGACTATCCTTAACATACCTCATTCATACATTCATGTGTGTACATATATGATAAATCCTTTCACATAAACACCTTAAGATAACACATGTTCATACTTCATTAGTCTCATACTTTTCATGCATAATAAGATATAAAGGTGCATATGATAATTATCCTTTCAATTAGCACCATAAACATATAATACTCATAATTATGCATTGAGTGTGTATACATGTTGGTCTTCATGATAACATAATAGCAAAAACATTGTTTTTGAGAAAGCCTCCATTCAAAGGATCACAAGACATTTACAATATCACAAAGTCATGAACAACTCACATAAACATCATTTAGGGACTATAGACCACATACCAATATTTCATCATAGGAGATAAGAGCACATTCAACATTTGAATAGACAACTCCTAACATGTATATGATCACACATTCATATAAGGTTATCTAGGTAGGGTCATTCTACAATTGTACATCACAATAAGGCATGTAGACCATACTTTATCCTAACATCATTATTCCCATTATCAATACACCTTAATCGTGATACTAACATTGAGGATTACATAGATAACCTTCATGGCGCACCTTCATACTAATAATCATCATAACCAAAATTCACATTACATTTACTGACCTCAAGGCCATTATTACAGCATGTACAGAAAGACAAAAAGTAAACACTGCCAACATAAGTGGACCAAACCATATAACATCAACTTCAATACAATAGACTAAAAGTTAAGTCAACTTACCAATTCTCCAAGCCTTGATCAATCATATATAAATACTCCAAAATTAATAATCAATATCTAAATATAGTAATATAATTTAAAAATACATCACAATCTAAGCATAATTTTATAAACATCATGACAAGATCACAAAATTCACTTTATAGGCAAAATTGAGAGACTAGAGAGATCATGGGTTCTTCAAGGAATTATATTAAAAATTATCTTTAAAACCTTGATTAAACATAAATTTATAATTACAATGACTTTGAAAACTATTTGAACTGAACCCATGTTCAGATAAAAAATTAGGAAATTTGATTGTAGAAACTCTTTGGAAAATCTTTGATAGAACTCTTTGGATGAAAGGTTATCAAAAGATCAAGAGTTCACATACATTATTGATTGAATACTCCCAAAATTTGAAAAATAATCAGTTGGAAATCTATCTTGTAGCTTGATCTTGAGCTTGGTCTTCAATGGAGTTCTATAAAGAATCTTATTTGAGAAAAAGGTTTAATTTGAAGATTAAATTCTAATTCTAGGTTTAGGTGTTTTAAATAAATTAAAATACCCTAGAATAGGTAAAATAACCTTTCACCCTTTAATTAGAACGAGGGGTGAATTGGTAATGGCCAAGACATTGTAGGACAGCAGGTGTCATTTGACGGCCACCAATGACGGGGCGTCAACTGGATGACACGCCTTCTTGCGCTCCGTTGATTTTGTCAGACACTCACTAATTTGGGGTCTAAACTCCCAGTATAAGTTTGGATCCACGCTCCCTTTTGACGTGGCGTCAATTGGTTGAAGGGGCGTCAACCACGTGCGTTAATGAGGTTGTTTTGGCAGCTTCCCGACAAACGTTTCGGTCCTTCTCAAGGACCCTTCGGGTGGTCCTTAAGGAGTCGTACCAGGACGTTTCGACCCTAAAATTGAACATCTAGATACTAGGTTCCCCTCCTATAATTTTTTACTCCAAACAACACTTCAAAACAAGGCAATCATATAAGGACACACTAGCACACAAAAGGCTAGTTTCCAGACATCTTCGTCCTGCTTTGACGTTTGACCTCAAACCTCTTCAAACCAACTATTACAATTTGTTTCTCACCTTATTAAAAAATTATTAACTATTCAAACTCATGTGAGGCTTTAGTTCTTCCTATTTTATTTAGAGGGTCGTTACACCGCGTTTCTCCCTTTGAACATGCCTAAATCGATATTTCTCAGCCTCTACTTCTTGGATTTGTGATCATCATGATCTGATGTCAAGTCTTGTATGTGGTGTATGGGTTACATCCAAACCACTCTTATTATGTTATAAAGGCTTGTGTCAGACTTAGTACTACTCTTTGTATATCTTATGTACTCTGTTGATATCATTTATGTCATTCTAGGATTTTAGACTTATATTAGATTTCATTACATCGTACTAATGTCAAGTGACTTACTTAGGGTATCATGCGATCGTATTTGTCATGTCACATCTAGGGTATATTTTGAGTTATGACAGGATCATAAGCCCTTTTTATCATAAAACCCCATCCCTTAAATTATTTGACCAAGTCTCTAACCTCTTTTATGGGTCATTTACTATGGGTCATAGAACCTTATATGGACCATCCTATTGGTCCATCAGAATATTTCAGAAACTATAACAAATCCAACTTCTAGGACCACTTTGTAAATCTGCCTTTTATGGACCATAGGACCTTGTAAGGTCTATAGGTAGCTTCCGTAAAACCTGCACAAGTGCTAAAACTAAAACTTTTCATCAAGGTGTTACATTATGAGAAACCATATCTATGTGAGTTTTGCATCTAGTAAAAATAAACTAATTATAATTACATCTAGTAATATAGAATTCTTAATTTTCTTTTAGAAGATAAGTTATTGGAATTTGGGATGATTGATCACAACAAATAGTTTGAATATGGAAGGTTCATATAGCAATCCCAGCTATATTAAAGAATAAGGTGTGCTTGTTGTTTACAATTTCTATAAAGGTTTATTGCAGGAAAGTTCATAATGATAGCTCATCCTTAGTGCAAATATCCTTTATTTTCTTTCTTCAATAGAAGTCTGTTAGAATAAGGCATTGTTGTAAAGCAAAAGAGGATGAATCTGATTCCGATAAAATATTTAGTTTAAGATCACAAGATTTAAAAGTATTTTCCTTTTTAAGTTGTGTTCCCTCTCAAACTAAGATGAGCAAATTGAAATTGTGAGAGTATCGAATAGTAAGTCTAAACAAAGTATCTAACATAAGCCAAGAGTTGTTTTCCACCACATCCTTGTGCCAAACTACTAGAAAAGTCATCATGCACAATACCACAAACATGTAGAGCATGGAAAATTCTCTTATTAGTGGTCCTTAAGCTTTAACCACCATAGTGTGTAAAGAGACTCCCCTCTCGGATTCTCTGGATTTAATTTCTATTTTCTTCTCTACTTAAATTTGTTATGAGTATTTCAGTGTCTACATAGTTCATCCCATATATGGAACCTCCTGGGCTTTGTACCTCTTTTGTGAGAATATGAAAATAAAATTGCTAGTCTATGCTTTCCTTTCAACCCAACCTTCGTAACAATCTAGTACTATGGGTAAGTGATGCACATTTTTTCTGCAAAAAAATTAAACGTGTAATATTAGAAATAAATAACAATAAATATGATGTTTGAACAAATATTAAATCCAAGTATTCCTTAAATTATTTAAAGATATGTTTCTTGAGTACTTGTTGAATATTACCTCATGTATACCATCAAAATCTAGTTAATCATTAACGAATTAAGTATAGTTGATCACCTTAATGTCGTTGCCTTGTAAATATATGTTCTTATAGATTTTTTCACACCCAAAAGCTTTGGACAATTCTTCCACCATTCTCATGATTCTCTTCTAATTGTCTTTGTTAAGAAAGTAAGATATTTTTTACAATGTAAACCATCCAAAACTCTAGCTTCTAAATACACTATTTCCTCATAATAATCTAGACTAGGAGATGGAGAATTACATGATAAAGTGTAAACTACATTTCATCCATAAATGTGTTACAAGACACACCAACAAAGTTCACGTAACCAACAATCATGCCACTAGTCAAGGTGTAGTGAGAGTGTACAAGAGATTCTACACCTTGAGTAATGCAATGGTTGTAGGCTACGGGAACCTGTGTGGTGTATCTTGGAAAGCATTTATGGATGAAGATAGTTAAATCTTCATTTATGGAATTCTCCATTCTGCATTGATATTACTCTCAGAGAATAGTGTTTTACATCCAAAGACTTGAAAGGTTTACATTTGTAGTGGGATATAAAATACCAAAATCAAATTGCTTTAAAAACTCACATATGGAGTGCAATTCAATTCGCTTTTTTTGGTGTTATTGGTTCTTAGCATCCCGTTATCTACGTCCCCACTACACACAAAAGATTAACGAGTCTAAGAAGGAAGAAGGAGAAATTAAAAGCATACTAGTATACTAAAACAGATCTAAACCACGGGCGCCCTCAGCATAACACCAAAAAAGAACCGCACGCCCTATCCACTAAAGAACACAACTGCAAAGAAGAAAAAAGAGGAATAAAAATGCATGGAAAAAAGATGGGATAAGGTACAAGGTGGTGGACTTACTTCTTGTAGCTGAACCAAGAGCTTAAGAAAGGATATGACGAGCATCAATCACCCAAAGGAGGAGGAACTGAAACTAAATAGATCAAGAAAGAAATATTTCAAGGTGCAAGGGGTGAGGGAAGCAGCGAGAAGGAAAATGACGAAAGGGGGAGTGAATTATGAAACCCTACATATAGATATATTTATAGCTCCATCCGGTTTAACATTGGGCTGGGCTTTAGGATGGGTCAATTTCTTGTTTAAGTTTTGTGGTCCATTTTTTTGTTTGGTATATTCCCTTGTTGGTTTAACATTGGTATGCATTGATATTTGTGATAAAAAATACTCAAATTTAATTTTAAAAAGATATCTTGCTTCACTTCTCTTTTTTGTCAACTTCCTTCATTTCAGCCGCAATTGATTTTGGATGCAGTAAGAATAAGAAAGATCGATAAAATATCATTTTATATATGAGGGTAAGGTATTGGGATTTTCAAAAGTTATTATAATTTTTTGTCCAAAAGTTGTTACAAGCTCTTCTATAGTCCAAACAATTTCTTAAAAATTGATCATTTGATCCCAATTTTAATATGTATTAATATTCTTCTTTTTGTGAAACCATTTTTCTGGATGAAATGATTTAAAATAAATAGAAGATATAAAGTTATTTATTATTTAGGTTCAAGTAGAAATGGATGTAAAAGTTTCAACTATCCTCATTTGAGATCATGTTCTGGACATGAATTTCATGTGAAAATAAAATAATTCTTTTGAATAAAAAATATTATTTCGCTTGAACTTCTAGACTTATTTTTTAAAATTATATTTTTTAGATCTATATTAATTGTTGTATTGTGTATTAGTACTAGATAGTGGATGAACTTATTATTCGGATGTCCAACATATTTTATTTTGGGTCCGATTTGAGCCTTTTTGTCTATTTTTCTATAATATGGTCTTTTTTAACCAATAAAATGAGTCATGTGGTCAAATTTAATTCAAGAAAAGTATTAACGGTGTAAATATTTTTCCCAATTACTATACTTTTATATTTTAGAGTGTCTTTCAAAAAAATAAAAAATTCGAAATAAAAATTCGAATTCAAGATGAAACAACAGTTAATTATGAATAATGTACATAAAATACATTGAATTTTTTCATGTACATTAATAAGATCACCATGTGAATTGTATTATTAATTATTTCCTCTAGATTGTTAAATTAAATTATAAAATATAACGAAACTATTAAATTTTGAAAATTCTACGAGAACTTTTTGGGATTTTTTTAGAAAATATACAAATCAAAGAAAACAAATTTAAAGTAAATTACAAATCAAGAAAAACAAATCCATATTTATCTATATTTAACTAAAAGAAGAAAAAGATATCATCTTCTTAAGCCAAGTAGCAACATAAAAATGACATATAACTATAGGACAAAAGAAATTACCTTTGTTACGATCCAAAAAACTCGACTCATGAGAACACCTACCAACACTCCTCTCTCCCCCTCTCTCTGTGTATGTATATATATACATACACACAATTACGAGCAACAGACCAATCCCATAACCTGCTAGACACAATTACAAATTTATGAAAAGCTCACAAGTCCCAAAAAAGAAGCTTATGTAAAAACATATCTAAAATACAAAAAGACTTCATAAGCTCACCCCTTATTCTTCGAAGACTCCACAATTGGCCAAAACTCAATGTTGGCGACTAAGCTAGAATCTACACCAAGAAAAGTATATGTAAATTATATTATTTGTACCAAAACAACATGTACCAAAAAATATCAAGACCAGCTAAGCATGGAAAATAAAAACATTAATGAAAAGTGAGAAAGTAAAAACCTAGAGGTCACAAAAAAATGAAACCGTAACAGAAAACCTAACTTTAAATAACTTGAGTCTAGGAAAGGATAAATGTAAAGACAAATAGTTATACATAACTTAATTTGACCCCATCCTCATAAGTTCAAAGGGTACACTCGTGAACAATTGAGAGTAAATACGTACCCCTATGAGCCTGAGAGTTACAGCTAAGGAAACTACTAGGTAGTTTATGAGTATTCAAGAAAAATGATAGTCATCCATGGACTCATACTGTTATAAATGAACCCCAAAATAATCCAATAGAATTAGCAAGCCACGACTTGAACCTGACTAATAAAGGTGATTACGAAAACTTAATCGTGCCTAATAGATACGCATTAGGGCCTTGAAATGTGACTATAGATATACAAATAGGCCTCAAAGCATGGATAATAGTATCATGTTAGGTCCTTAAATTATGGATAAAAAATTTATGCAATGTCCTCGAACCCTGAGGAGATACGCCAAGGCCTCGAACCGTGGTTAAAAGACCTCAAATGGCACAATCATCCGCTCTTCCTCAAACTTGTAAAACCTTAAAAACTGGTAAGTGGAGTTGAAAAAAATTATACAAAAGTGTTAAATGGTTCCAGTTTATACGGGCCGAACATAGGTAGTCGTTGAAGTTGAGTTGGAAATTTGGAACTTTATGAGTCCTAAATAAAATTTCCTACGGACCAAAAGAATGGTCTATAGACCTTTGTACGACCCATTGGCAGGGTAGTAGGGGGATTCCACACTTAGAAAAATTTTGATGAACTTTGGGTATATAATTAAGACTACGTACAATATAAGGTCATGTAGTCAATAGCCCAGGCTTATAGAAAGTGCATGGACTTAAAGATATTTTTGGATCTAGGGTTCTACAAGAGGGCTCTACGGGTGGTAGAATGTTCTAAAACCCATAGGATGGGTCCATGGACTTTCGAAACCTAGTACTTGGTTCTGCGGATGACCAAGACGGTCCATAAAGGTTTGTACGGACCGAAGTCAGTCTGGAGAGTCCCTCTGGTATTTTTTTAAGTTTGGATTATTTGGGTCTTTTTCTACCCTTTATACACCTAAACTATGTCATTTTGACCCTATATCTAACTAAATCTAAATTTACTCTTCAAGTGAAACTATTTCCCTCTCATTCACTGTAACCCTCAAAAGCTCGCAAGGTTTTCTCTCCAAATCCTATCCCGGGATTCCCTCAAGTGGATTAGTGTTTTTCAATCCTTTAAGTTTCCTTCTCCAATTCCAAATCAAATATTCATCAAGGTTTGTGGAATTTTCATTAATGAATCATTTACATCCAATGAGTCTCGAAGATTTCTCTACTTTTTTTCAAAGATTCAAACTCAAATCTCCAAGGTTTGCATGATTATGTATGAGTTCAATTTTTTTATGAATTAATTCACTGTATTCAATCTTATTTATCAAGATTTAATTTAAATTACATGTTTCCAATTATATTTTTCATTAATTTGTGCTATGTATGTATTTTGATAATGAAATTAAGCTTTAATGATGTACATGCATTATGAATCGAAAAGATTATGACACAAGGATTTTCAAATATAGTGTCTGTATGATCCTATGAAATTAGGTTGCTTCCCATTAATGTAATCTCATTATGAAATATGATCATGATTTAGATGATTTTGATAACTCTCCTATGCAATGATTGTGTTATGCATCATGATTTTTAAAGAGCTACTCTTAAGTATATGTATTGTTTTTTAGTAGAGTTGAACTTCGCACTGAGTAGACTGGCGGTGACTAACCACGTTTCATAAACTATGTGTCACCATAGGTATAAGACCAAGAACTCATGATCTCAAGGAGGTTATAGGCGAGTACCCAATCTCTAAATGCTCTTGATCTTGAGGGGGACTAATAGTGAGTACCTAGTCTCAAAGTTATTAATGATGATGCCTTTTTGTCCCAGAAAGATATATTGAGCCCTCTTTGATGGGGTGATATATCAAACTCCATATTTAGATGACATGGTTATATGTTGGTAAATAGTTTATCTCACACACTAGTATGACATGGTTTAAGATTTTGTTATGATTTTTATAGTTTTGCATTGACATTATTCCTTGATTTATTGACATACTTTATCATATTTGATATGTGTGTACTTGGTCATGCAATGTACCACTGTGAAATTGTATCCAACCAATAGTTACAAACAAACATGCATGATAAAAAACACAAAGAACAGTATCACTTGAAAGCCACAAATCACATAAACTGGTTGATTTCATGAGATTATCAACATGATGTCATCTCATATGTTTTCCTATATATATCCTAACATGAATTGCACCAATGATACTATAAAGTAGTATACATGCATACATACATAAACCAAAATAACATATAACCATCACCTACCTCGAATCAAGCCTCTTGAAAACTCTTAAAGAACATAAATTTTCCCATTTTGAAGTTCACTTGCTTGTTCTTGGTCTAAAACAATAAATACATGCTACAATAAATTAAAAAATTACCTAATAATACCTTATTATAACCAAATATTAACTCCATCCCAATTCATGATCATCTTTCCCAACTTAGGGCTTTTTTCACCATGAAATCATGTCACAACCTTCCCTCAAGAATAATATCTTAGATTCTAAATCTTAATAACCAATTTACAAGATTAACGAGTAAGAAACTTACCTTTACCAATGAATTCCATGGAAATTTAGTGTAAACAACCCTAATCACCCCTCATAATTCCAAGAATAAAAGTGTAGAAAATAGGAGGTTTTGGGGTTGTTTCTGTATAAAATCTCGACTTACCCAACTATAGTGGTTTATCCTGCGATAGTATATGCACACTGCTACTTTAGCGGATTACATAAACTTCAAAAGATTATAAATCTCCAAAAAAAACAATTTTTCACAACGTACCTTTTACCTTTTACATGCCAAACAATTCCCTCCACATCAAGATTAATTTCAAGAGTTCTATATACTTGAATTCGATTCCGTGAATCCCCAATGGCTCCTTAATTTCTAAACAAGTAATTAAATACCAAGACTAAACATTGCACCCTATTAATTCTTGGATGGCTCTAGAACTCACCTAGCTAGATTATGTTTAAGGTTGGCGTACCTAACAAGTTTTAAGTAACTAACCCAAAAGTTTTTTGGTCTAAATTATTTCAATATTGTCTAAGTCATAATGATCGGAATGGGTCATTACATATACAAATTTTAATCTTCCTTAAATTCAATTTATGTTTCATACTTTTTAAATAATTTAACTTTAAACTCCTTATGGTTATAGTCATCATACATGTGCATAACTTTGATCACAAAATTTTTGTCAAAACATCATCAAATAAATCAGGACAGAGGGAGAACGCTAAAACATCCCAGAGATCATTTAATACCTTGGAAATTAGAAATTAATTTTGAAAGGGAAAAGTTGCAAAAAAGTGTGTTGGTACGGTTCCTACAAAGCCTATATATGGGTCACAGGAGGCTCTCGCGGAACTTGGGATGAATTTTAGAAAAACAAGTATTTGATGATAATTTATAGATAAACATGGTGAGTCGTAAGATTTTCTATGGGTCATAAAAAGAGTATC